GGGAAAACTGGAGAGAGCGGTGGGGATATAGTGGAGAAAATATTATGCAGGGTTTTCGCTATTAAATATCAAGTATATGCCATGGTCACCCACACCCATAGAGAGAGAGAGAGATGCAGAGAGAGTGTGTGTTGTTCTATCGCCTTCTATTGCCCTGCCTGCAGCTATGGTCGGGAATGTATTTTATATCTTGCCCTTGCATTCATATTGTAATTTGTTTCACCTCCGGCCATGTTATTTAGTTACGCACTTACATCGTAAAAATGTCAGAAACTATGGTGTTGATCCCCCCAGGACCTAGTGCCTGCCTCCCTCCTCTCATACGACTATGAGTATATGTTTATCATTATTTCTCCTCACTTTCCAGACCCTTTGCATTTTGTGAAGTGCCACCCCGAAGCAATGTCTAGGCGATGGCGGAGTGGGATTCCTTTTCTTAAAGAACAAGTATAAATTTCTCTAGAAAGAAAATATTTGAAATGAAAGTCAAATATTAAAAAAACAATCCTAAAGTTGAATGCATTTTGTTTGTAAATATTATGCATTTTTGTGGAATACTGTATATATTTTATTACTTTCCACGGTATCGTTTAATTTTTTACTTGATTTTTTAGGTATTTTTTCAGAATTAAATTTCCGAATTCCGAATCACATTTTCAATGATATTTCAATATTTTCAATAATATTTCAGGATAAAGCTGCTGAGCTCTATTTATTCTGTCCATAAGCTTTTATTGTTCTTTGTTTTTTTTTTTACTTTAGAGTTCATTAGTTAGCAGAAGATTTCACTCACCTTGATTACATTCATTTTGCCTCCTCTTCTTTGTCATTCACATATGTAAGTTTAATTGTTACTATGGCAAAACAAGAGAACAAACGCAACGCTCTTAGTTATATTGCCTTCTCCTCCTGATCTTGTACAGTTCTTTTCACTCGCACAGGCGAGACGATTTCTAGGTTACGATGAACGAAAAGACGAGAACGCGAGATTTCGGGAACGTACGACGATTTCAAAAGGTACGGAACAACACAAACACTGCACTGCACTTTAACACACTTTACAACTTTTTTCATGCGATCTCCTTCCTCAGCGCCCCCTTTTCCTTTTCAGCTTTATTCCCGTTTTTGCGCACACGCAAAAGAGAGACAGAGAGAGAGAGCGACATCATCTCCCCTCACATAGATGGAGACATCGTCGAAGTCACGTAGGCCATTTTGATCATCTTCTCTCCACCCACTACATGAAAGAGTTAGAAAGGGAGCGCAATATATTTGTAGACTTTCTGCAATTGACACACACATGCAGCGCAAGACCTCGTGGCCGAACGAAAAAATTGTGGGCGACACCACGGACATAACGGAACCTAAGTAGGGTGCTTCTCTGTAATTTCTGCTACTTTTGGCACAAGAAAAAGTTTATAAATGAATGAAATAATGTTTAACACACTTGTTGCATGGTACTTTCACTTTTTTCACTACACTTTCCCAAATTTGCCATTTGATCTGCCATTTTATGCCGCTGCTTCGCCTTTTTCCTCCTTTTGCCATTTGAACTGCCATTTTATGCCGCTGCTTCGCCTTTTCGTAGATTTAACACTTTATTGCCAGGATTGTTGATAATTTTTAATTCACTAAACTAACGCACACACGCGACAACATTTTCCAATTGATTTTCACAATTTTCCCGCTTTTTCCGACGCGAAACCGGCAAAAGAACGCGGAGCTGACTATGAACGCGTGCAAACCGAACCGGGAATTGGAAGCTTCTAGAACTGGAAGAGAGCAAAATGGAAGCTGGAACTGAAAGAGAGCGACATAGCTGCGTGAGCGGCTTAATACGCGCTGTCAATGAGACAGTTACATTCGTTTGTGTTCTGTTTTGTTTTGTTTTTTTAATTGGGAGTAAGTAAGCTCATGTAGAATGTAATGTAGCATGTAACTGAGGATGTTAATCAATGTAGAATGCGTTGAAATTTGAATATTTTTTAATCTAAAACCAAAACTAATAAAAAATCATAGCATGAAAAGTTGTTAATGCATGCCTTGGCTAAGAGCAACTTACTTTGCACCATATTATGGTAAATACAACCAATTTTGTCTAGGACATCACAAGGACGACAAGATGAGATTCGCATTTGATGGCATTTGACTAATGATTCGAAATGTCAGAGAATATGAAATCTTGTCGTCGCTAAAATTAGTTTGTCAAAATTTGAGAAGGGTTCAGGTACTGTGTATATCCTGGACTGCCAAGCATGGCGCTGAGCATCATTTATATGCAGCCAAATATGTAAATTTGTCACTTTTTAAACGAGAAATGCGTGGCGTGCGCCCCCCTCGGGTCCCCTGACAGAGCTCCCGGAACCTATAAAGAATGTTCTATGGTATCCCCTTTGACGCCTATTCTTTCATTCAATCCCCATATATTGATAATTTCCCTTTCTATTTCGAATGGTATTTTTTTTATTTTTCTAAGAACTTTTTCAATATTTATTTTCAGTTTCAAATGGTTATCATTTTGAGCAGAAGCAGTCGCATCCTTCCTGCCTGGCTTCCTGCTTCCGGGTACATCTCCCACAAATGGTTATTGTTTGTTTGCTGTTGCTCCTACTATTATTTATATCAACATCTTTATCTATATGTACATATGTATGTTTGGATCTGTGGTCAAAACTTTGCTGCCACTTGCCTGGTATATAAACTGCTTCTAAATTGCTTTGACCAAGTTGATTCCTGCCTGCGCCCACCCGCAGACAAGATTTGCACTTCCGCATAAGAAAAACTCTGGCCCAAGCAACCAACAACTTTCCGTTCCATTGTTTTCTTCCGCAACTTTCGATTCGGTTTGAGTCCATCCTTCCCCTCTGTCTGCTCTTCCAACTGTGGGATTCTCCCACTTTCTGCACCTACTGCCTGGCTGCTCCGCCTTGGCGTTTCAGCTCCTTCAACGTTTCCTCCCAAGTGCACGCAAAAGTTGATTTATTGTTTGGATTTTTACAACTTTTGACTGCAGTTTCCACAGTTTTTGTATTCTTATTGTTTTTCCTCTCGCTTGTCTTTTGCTGCATTCCATTCCCCGCTGTTTCCATCTATTATTAAAATATCTTTGACTATGACTTGGCGGATTTGTGTTGCTTCTTGTTACTCGTTTAATAATATATCATTCGTATGCCTCACCCCCAGCCCAAACCACTTGTCTATTGTCAATCACAAATACTCAATCACCGGAAGGAGATACTGTTAATTAATTTCGTTAGAGGCAAACTCCAGTGCTGATTTGGGGGGTTTTTCACAAGACAGGGGACACATCTGCACAACAATTCATCATCATCATCATCATCATCATCATCATCAGCCCAGCCACGTAGCCTTGTGGCTCTGGCTGGACATCGAAGGACTGGACATGTGGGGGCAGGGCAGTGCAATCGAAAAACCATTTTCTATTTTGTATTCCCCTGTGTGTCAACACAGTGTTTGTGCATCGTATTTAAACAATAGTCGTCCCTCGCAGTACAGGACAGGACGGGACCTACAGCCTTCTTGGGCGCCCGCAGACAATTGCTTGGCATTGCATTTGCCCATCGAGGCGTACATTACATTGCATAAAGGACCTAGGCAAGGCGAAGCAAAGCAACGGCTCCTCCGAACGGTTTCAAGTGCATTGCAAGAGACCGACCACAAGACAAGACACGGACATGCCCGGAACAGACAGACCATCAGATGGCAGTGGCGGGGACAGGACAGTGGGTATGGAATGTCTGTCAAGCGTTTAAATGGTCCTTCTGGTAGGTCCTTCGTCCTGCTGCTCTTGCATTAATTAAAGATGCGTGGCATTGTTGGTCACTGCCCCATTTGCCCCACTCCAGCCCACCCCACCCTCATTGTGTTTTGAATTAATGTCAAAGGATTCAAGTAATTGGGCAGTGTCTCCCTGCCTCTCCTCTCTCTGCACTCTGAAAATTAGCCAGGCTGACAGTCGACCTCCTGGCAGATGATTTGTTCCATATGCAGCAGGATAGCAGCAGCAGCAGTTCTGTCAGAAATCTTCAATTAATCAGATATAAAGGTAATGCTCGGCTGGGCCAAACCAAATCCCTGGGATATTGCATATCGACGAGGGAGAGACTGTGTATTTGTGGAAGGTATTCTACGCTCAGGACTTAGGAAACTGTTAGATATACCAACTAATTTTCTCAATTGTAAGTATTCTAAAGTAAACAAAAAAACCCAAATAAGAAACTAGAATTGGATGATCTTTAGAAAGCAAAGGGTTTTTCGTACAAAACACTTATTTTTTCAACAATTATTCCTATGGCAGACATAAAATAAAGTGTTCCGATTTTTAGAAAATCTTTGTGAATTATGTAGAAGCATATAATGACACAAATCCTTACGTTTCGTTTATGTAACTTAAAAAATAGACAAGTTAGTCTCATTACTTTATGGCAGCTATATTAATATATATCATTAAGTAAAGCAAAATAACTAATTTTATATCCCTACTCGCAGCTGGATATAGTGATCATAGTGCACAATTGCATTTGCATATAATGCGCATGATGGTGGAAAGGGATTGTACGGACACTAATCAAATATCATTTCAAGAAATGGCCGAAATAATTGTCACCATAAAGGTGTATAATACCCGAGTTCCGGGGACTTTCCAAAGACGATGGAAAGTCTGCAAAATGGTGAACCAAAATATGTAAATACATACAGTATATGTTCTCTATTTATGCTGCACTTCAACAAGTGATTAAAACTAGATATTGATATTCATCTTAGGCTTGCTTCTGAAGAAAATCCAAAATTGTATTCACTATCCACAGAATTTGTGCCTACAAAATTTAGAGCAATTCTTATAATTGGAATACAATAATTGCATAGAAAATGCAATCTCGAAATGTTAAGAGCTCTTTGTTAATCTAATACTTATGATCTGCCCTTAGTTAATGCTACAAAATACAATTTTAAGTTTCTAAAATATATATATATTTATTTATTTAAAAATAGACGCAAAAAATATGAAAAAACTTTAAAAATATTATGACTAAATTGTATTAAGGAATATGTGGGGTATAGTAGGTAGAGGTACATAAAAACACATGTTTGTTGCCTGTCTATGCTGGGGTCTGCTGAAAGGGGATAACCAGGCAGGCTCTCGTGCGAACAGAAGCCAAACGAATTAAGTAGAATGCAAAATAATACTTAGATTCGAAAGTACAATTCTAATTCGAATAAATAATAAATTCGAAAGTTTTTTTGTAGAACCTGTGGGGTGGGGTGGGGTGGGGAAATCTTCATCCTAGGGTACTAGAACTAAACCTGTGTGTGGTGGCGGGTGGGGGGTGCTGCCTGTAATACTTTCTATCGAATCTGGTTTTTGTGAGGCCTTTTTTTTCTGTCAGCCTTCAAAAGTATTGCTAGTAAAATTGTTGTTGTATCATATCATAGTTGATCTGTCATCTGTCTCATGCAATAATCACAGCTTTAATTGGTATCTTTTGACTCATTTTTTTCCATCTCCTCTCAGCACTAATCGATTCTAAGTCTCGCTAATTTTTCTATACAAAAATAAGTTATTCAATTCAATTCAATCCATTCAAGAGCGGCGCCGGCAACTCAATGTCTCTCTGCTCGAATTCATTCCTTAGGCCAGGGGTAAGGAGTACTGGTACTGGGACTGGAACTGGGACTGGTATTGGGTTCTTCTAATTCTTTAAGGTCACTTAAGTACGTTTCTTGATTCGATACAAGTGAATATTGAAGATTAATGATGATGTTGCATTAGATCCTTGATCAGAGTGCCCTTGGTATGCAAACGCTTATCATTTGGCGGCCAAATAGGCGGCCTTTAGCCTTTGATATTCCAGAATTCGAGCAATGCCGTACTCCTAAAAAAAGAAAAGAATAACAAATCAAATTAGATATTTCTTATTTATTTACAGAGTATTTTTAAGTAAAGGAACCATTGCAAAGCGATTGACTTTCACTCGTTCCTTTGGAGCGAGTGAAGGCTTCTCGTTTGCATTGAATGCCTAACCTCAAAAACTCACCCAATAACCAAACTCGATGGCTGATGTCACATTAATGACCGACCAGAGGCTCCAAAACAGATGCGACATCATCGTAAAGAACTGTATCTCTGCATCCACATTCTCCAGCTCTTGCACAGTGGGATTATAGTTCTCATCATCGTGATATTTCTTTAGATAATTCACTATGAAATCTCGTCGCTGTTGAGCGGTGGCATAATTGCTTGCATTATGATGAAAGTATGGGAACTGCGGATTGGTATAGTCAAAGGTCCATTCGATGAAATGATTGGCCAGATCGTAGCCACGATAGTTATAGGCACAGTACTCAAAGTCAATGATAATGAGATCCGGCTCATTATCGTTGGTAAAGCTGGTATCCAATGCGGAATCATCGGTGGTGTCCAGCAGTTCGGGACACGACAAGGACGACGACGAATTGTGCGATTTGCTAGACGAACGTGAGGAGTTTTTTTTTGGGGTAAAGTTTAGTTGGTATTTAAATGTGAATGTCATGTGGGATAACCTGTATTTGTGTGTTTGCTTTTGGCCAGCACATAAAAATTTTTATAACAGCAAAAATTGTCTCCATCTAGAATTGTAGGGTAGTTTTATATGGGCATAGAGCATGTACGGAATGGGCCAATATATTGCAAAAGGGCTTAGTTACTGGTTAGAGCGGCCAACAACAAAATACACGGGTTAGCAAGCTCAATAAATTCCGTCTACTTACTTGGCCTCTGGCTCCGAAAGATTACTATTATTGCCATCCAAACTGTCGCCCAATGTCTCATCGAAATTGGATCTATTGAATATATTAAATTTATTAACACTAAAACTCACCGGTAAATCAATCAAATAATATCGTACCTCAAACTGCTGATGGATTCCCGGGGCGTACGTTCGGGTGGCGTTGCCTGGCGCAGCAGTATATTTCCCTCCTGCAGATCGTTGTGGCAAAATACGACCGGATAATCGCCGCTTTCAATCACCGATCGCAGCCATGCTATCTCCTGCACATAGTCAATGGTACGCATCAATTCGCGTTGCTTCTGGAGCACGGCCGAGTCCGGTTTCGATTGGATTTTGCCCTTGACAATGCTCTCAAAGCTGGTCACCCAACGCTGCATGCAATTCCAGATCCAGTCCGGCTCCTTGGACATGGGTATATTGAGGCTATGGATTTCACCCATTTTCTCTGCCACTTTCAGGAGTATACGCTGCTCGGCCAGCTCGGCTGTGGCCAAGGCGCGTGCCTGTAACAAATTAAGGTTTGATTTTAATAATTGAACCGATTTCTCCACTATAATTACTTGGCATACCGGTAAGTATTGCTCGATGCGTCCGCCGGGAAAGATGCCATGCAGTTTGGGTCCGAAATTACGCTCACTGAGCAGGGCAAACACAACCGATTCGGTAATCATGCTCTCCAGCGCATGATCCCCATGGGTTTGTCCATAGATACGCAACAGGACCTGCAAAAGAATATAGCTCGTTATTAAGTATTGTACAGGGGGAGGGGTGTGTCGTGTGTCGTTTGTCTCATTGTGGAGATGGACCTACCTCACGCGGTTCCTGCTTGGGGGCATGCAATCGTTTCAATGAACTCGAATCGCCGCTATCGCTATCGAAACGCTGACGTTTGTGCGCCTGCTTGGCGCTAGTCGCTGCGTCGTCATCGTCCGCCATCACACCCACGGACTGGGAGTCGGCCTCCTCCACCTCCACCTCCACATCATTGCGTGCAAAGTCGGGGCTATTTTTGGATACAACATTTGTGGCGCCACAAGCAACTATGACGTTGTCTTTGCCATTTGCTTGCTGTTGCTGTTCCAATAATCTCTGCTCCTCTGCATCTTCTTCGTCATCCAAATCCGGCAGACTTACGTAATATAAAAAGTTTGAAAGACCGCCACTAAAAAACAAAACAAAAAGGAAACAAATTTTAAAGATTAAGATTCATACAAAAGATTTAATTATTTGATTTATGGCACACACACCTGATGCGTTTCACCACCAAAGATTCTGGGGTTACGACCTTCCAGCGACCGGTTAGATAGTCCCGACAGATTCGTGCTGCCGCATGGCGAATCTCCTCAAGGGTTGCCTGTTGTTGAAAGAGAAAGAGAGCGAGAACATTACAATTACTATACTAAAAGAGAACCCAAATTGAGAGAACAGAGAGCGAGATTTTCGTGCAAAATCGACAAAACAATTTTTTGTTTTTTTTGGCCCTGGTGGGGCTTAGGGGCTGTACTAAAAATACCAAAAATCCATTGTGCTAAAATGCAAATGCAATTAGTGGCTCGCGCCCCACCAAACGACAGGGCATGACAAAATATATTGATTTAAAAATAACCAAGGTAACCGAAATAAAATTGCATTTTAATCATTATTGATTCGAGTGGGATGTGAGTGCAAGTTAATTTTCAAACTAAAGGCATTATTCAAGTACTAAAGAAAGTGCAAAAAGTTCTTCGTACTAGAATGCTGCATGAATAATGGTTCGAAAAATGTACCTAAACTGACTTAGTAACTAGTTTTAAACTAAAAACAATATTCTAGTGCTATGAATAGGTCACAATTAGTTATTGCAAGGTCTGTTAGTTCCAGTTCGAGTATTTAAATGGAATATACTAGACTTTTAGGTACTAGAACTGCTTTACAAATTCTTAGAACATATTTCAAAAGTATTTTCATGCATCAAATATTCTTTAAAAAATACTTAAAGTGTTCTAAAAGTGATATATTAAGTGACAATATGTACTAATACCATTTATTCATATGATATTAATACTCTGCCAAAAATAAACTACAAAATGTATTATTAAACGCTTACATTTCGCTTAAAATGTTGCCAAATATTATCATATTTACAGCGTTTACTTAGACAACAGTTTTCAACAATTTCCTGCTGCTGCTCTTGGCGACGTTTTAATGTTTTATTATTGCCACAAATTCGCTGTCTCATGCTACGCGTATTTTTTTTATAGTTTACACAGATATGAATAATATATAATATATATAAATTGTATTATATAAATCTGATAAAATAGTTTGCAAAAGGCAGGCACACACAACAGGAATATATATTTAGTTATAGTATAAAACGGCAAAAACAGAGAGTCTTTTTCAGTTGGATTTTCAGCAGTGATTTGCTCTGTACAGCTGGGCGGACAAAAACAAACTGAGTCATCGCCATCGGCCCATACATACATACATAATACGAATACGAATATGTACGCTCTTTCGCTCTGGCTCTCTCTCTCTCTCTTTCTCTCTCTCTCTGTGTGAACTTTCTTTAGTGGTTGTTGCTGTTGCACCACCATTCACATACAACCACTACAGGCCGGGCCGGGCCGTGCCGGCTGCCACCCTCTCTGACGTGGTTGCCATAGTAAACATATGCTTCCTTATAGACCAGAGGTCCTTCCTCTACACTCAGAAATTTATATTATTAGCAAAAAAGTATTCTTCTATATTTATATAACTGAATGAAATATACAAAAAAAAAACACTCCTATAATTTGTTTTTCTTTCAATTTTAGACTCAATTTTTTGAATAGAATTTTCAAGGTGTAGGTAGGCAGGACAACAGCATCTGAGATTTTTAACAGATGTTCATCGTTCGTTTGGCACCGAAAAATACCCTTGACGTCAGGTAGAAAATAGTTTGAAACGTGTCTGGTGTCGGTGTCTGGGGGTTTAGGCCATAATTGCTTGTAATTCTTTGTCATTGGCATTTGACAGATAAGATTAATATTTAACCACACACACACACGCACACACACACCTGTCGGTTGGTAATCTGTGGCCATATAGTAGGTATAAATATAAAATATATATAAGGACTTGTGGCAGACTTGAGGGTGGGGAGTTTACATGGTCAAGTACACTCGATTATTGCATCTTTTAACAGGAAACCAATTGTTTAATATTTGCACAGAACATTCAATAACGTTCGTTGAACCCACCAACCATCCATGTGTTCCCTTGCTCTTTTTTTAGATACGAATTTCAGAAATTGAATGTAATAAAACAAGAGAGATTGGGATATGTCTGGACAAGTAAATGATTCACGAATGTTGTAAAAAAATATAATATAGAAGCTACACAAACAGATGCAATATATATGTATGTATAAGTGTTTACGGGTTTTCGATTAACTAAAAAGAGCCCCTTAACAGCACAAAAATCCTTCTAAAATCCTCTCCTTTTGTAGCTATAAAAACTGATATCAATTTTTATGGATATCCGGTTGAAATCATCAACTATTTGTATCCGAAAGCAAGAGTAACATTTATCTCATATGATCCAGTTCCAGAGGCAGCTGCAACTCTCGACTAATCCATGGAATTTTCCACGCAACATGAAAATCTTCCATTGGACTTCTATTTACAATATTTAACGCATTGTGGAGGCGCCGCTGCTGAACCCAACCAAACCTCTTATCAAGTTTTGATTGCCGTTTCAGGCCGTTGGTTTTTGTGTTGAAGAAACTCTGTGGATGGGGCCCATTACAATATATATTATCACGAGTGCGAAGCAACTAAGCAAATAAAATCTATTAATAACTAAGCAAATCCATGACTATGGGAAAAATCCAAGTGGGAGAAATATTTTAATAGTAGACATTTCCATAATCATCAAATGTCACATTTTGGGGGTTTGTTTGCAAATGAAATTTGGCCAAAAATTAGGCTTCAATTGGCTGTGCCGGGGCCTTATCATACGAATACATAGTTGCGAAGTTATCAGCAAACTATAACAATATACTGCCAGAGCGATAAATACTTAAATCATTTAACACTAGGCGCTGCAATAAATTAATTATTTGCGAGAATTTATAGGCCCCCCCCCCCCCTTAAATGCTAAATCATACAGCATTTGAATTACAGATTAAATTCCTTTCAGCGCAATTCTTTGGAATTTCGCAATGTACATAAATATATGTATGTATGTGTGTACATACATGTATGTATGTATTTTCTTGTCACTTTTAACTCCAACTAAGCAACTAGGTATTATATAGGTCACTTTTTGTTGCTGATAACCCGAATAGCCAAAAAGCATACGCATTGAATTTGATTAGATTTCGCATTCTAGCTACTTCCTTCCTTGAAATACTTTCCTTGCAGTTATATAAACATTTTGTGATGGCAATAAATCATTAATTTGTCGTTTAATCTGTATACCGTCCAACTATTACGTCAGTTTTAGCGTGAAAGCTTACGTTAAGAAATATAGACCATGTGATGTGATGTGTAGGGCAGGCAAAAAGAATGAGTTGTGCACTTTATTGCTGTATGAGTCACATGATAGTTATGATAAGTATTAATATGACACTCTTTTATATAAAACAAATAACTTCAAGCAAAAAAAAAACCATTTAAAATACACAAAATAAGCCCATAATTTCGGAATAATTGGATTTAAGCTATTTTCCAATTCTCCATTAAACTTTAACGAGGCACGGGCGATTATAAACCCATTTGCAAATACTGGAAAGGTCTCGTGCAAATCGAAATTACCAAATGAGTTCCAGTAAACCCCCATTTGGGAAGTACCCCGGGCTGTGCCAGTTGTTATTGTAACGCTTTCAAAGCAAACTGGCTGCGAAACGATCGTGTGTGAGATATATAGTATGTATGTATATATTAACCATATATGAAAACCCATTGTTAGCCTGAAAAACAATTATGAACTGCGCAACAGTGCGATTATAACCGCAACACGTGAGACGATGACTCTCTGTCTAACCGCAACAATGTAGTCGAAATCTCTTCTACTTCTCGTAGATCTACAATCTACTCGTAGTCTGTGCTGAACACCCACTTTTGATCACAGAGAAATTCACGTAGTAAAAATTAAAGAAACAGCGAGAGCTTATTACTGATAAGCCCCAAGAAACTCGTCCAGTTTTTTTTTGTTTTTTTTTTTGTTTAAAGGAGGGTGGTCTGGCGTCAATGTACGAATAAGCAGTCGGGCCAATGGCGATAAGGAATGTTTCTGAACGATTGCGGATCTCCAGAGGGAACGCGCAAAATCCACAACGTGTTCTCATTCTTTACAAATGAAAGGAAACTTGAGAGGCTACACATTAATCACTCTTAGTATATGGTGGCAGGGGTTAAGGTGGTTTAGGGTATCCAAATTTCGCAACATTCCAATCGAAAATCAATCCGAATCTGCATACGCAAAAGCTCTATATGCCACAACAACACCCGGTCAAGGTACGAAAAGTGTGGGAAAACGGGGGCAAACCAGACACACAGCCTCAGACAGAGAGAGAATCGACGCCTTTGACTTTTGCCGCCCGCTTACGAATTTTTGTTCATTTCGCAAGCTTTGCTTATTTCTCACTCTTTACTCTTTTGTTGCTTACCGTTTGCAAGTTGCTGGACATCTTCTGCTGCCACCTCTTGTCCTCTCTGCTTTGAAATGTTTATCTTAACACACATACACACACTCAGTCTGTCGATAGGTAACACGCGCCAGGCCAGCAAAACCACTCCAAGTGTTCGTTCTCTTTGACGTCACACTTGGTATTAAATATGTATAGTACACGAGTAATAATAAAGTAATAATAAGTACGTTTATATGCGCGTAGTCAGTTTCAGTTTTCAGTTAACGGTTTCGTTTCACAGGGGGCTTTCGGCTTTTCCACGTCCACTCACGAGTACAATTTTATTCCGACTGTGACTTGTTGATCGCTGCTGCTTACCAACACAAGGCAAAGCTTTTAAAAGCTTCTGAGTAAATCAATCGCCTCTCTCTCTCTCTCTTTTAACGATTTTTGCTATCTTATCAGGGTTTTTACTTTTTTCTTCTTTTTGCAATGCGAATTGTTTGTGCCCGGGAGACGGCTCAAGGCTGATTGCTGTGCCACTCGTTTCGTATTTATAAAGATTTTATTGGACCTGTAAAATACCAAAATTGTTTGTACTGATTTTACCGTTTCAAAATGTTTTGGAATTTAAAATTTAGAATTTCGATTGTCTAATATGAACTGCCAAATGAAAATTACATCCCATTCATAAAACAGCTTCAGTTCTTTATTCATATTTATTTTAAATTGCGTTGTATTATTGACTCGGAACCAGTTTATTGTTTGTTTTTATCTTTTTCAGTGTGTTTTCAAATATTTGTTTTGGCCCTTTTCTAGGTTAAAGACGTTTAATTGCGTTTCGTCTGCGCGAGGTTTCTTCTAGAACACATTCGTGAGAAACGGCACGAACGCACAACCACAGCACACACTTAGTAGATGTATCACTTTATACAAGTATATTCTACGTACCGATAGAATATGTTCTGGATGCTCAGTTTTTAGGTGTAATTTTATTGAAAGTAGTTAAGTAGAACAATAAAATAATAAACACTTTCAAATAAGCGCAGATAATAAATAATATCGATATACATATCGATGCGATTAACATGGCTAGAAACAGCGATGCGCGTAACAGACACAACACGAACTCTGTTGTGTTTAACAGCGCTACGCTTCTTCGTAATTACAGGCCCAACAACAACGTTATAACAAGTCTTTTATTTAGTTATATGAATTAAATTCATAGAAGAAATTAATTAAAGTAATCAGAAGTAAAAATAATCCATTCAAAGGATAAAGAAAAGGAACAAGTCTTCAGGTTGCTTTTGTCACACAGTATCCCAAGTCATCATCTAAGTATCGGTGCTTAGAAGTGCGCTAATGGTTATATCTTTAAAGTAATTCTTGCGGCTAAGCTGCTTGATCCGAATGAAACGAACAGGCCTGCGCGCGAAGGTGACAAACATTTTCGTGGGGATTGAAAATGTGAAACTTCCCAAGTTGACCCAGTGGGTCATGTCGCAAGAGATTTCCACGATGCAATCGAGTATATATGTTGAATTTCTTAAACCTGCGATATTTATATAATTGATCATATGCCAGAAGCTCAGCTCTATTAAGATCTCACTCTTGGTGACAATCGAACGAGTTACCCATAAGGCCACATCTACGCCCGGAGACTGTCTGGCACGATAGGGCAGATTCTCCGGCTTGGTTGCTTTATCGATGACGTCAAATATGTTGTTTGGGTCGACGATTCCAGAGCGACGAACCGTACTCACCAGGTCCTCGACCTTAATGAGAGGGAGACGTACAAGCGAGACAACCGACTTGATGTCCACGTCCGGGTTGTGCAGACTCCATTTGTGTACCGCTTGAAAGATCTTCAGTTCTTCGGCAATAAAAGTATCGCGCCGAAGGACTTCTTCAAGTGATTCCTTGGACAGCATTAGAAAGAAATCGTCTTCCATCACCTGGGCCCCATTGGTATCGATGAAATTTAATGATTTCATGTTCAGGTCTTCCATGCTGTATTGGCGCGCTGTATCCAGGATTGCGCACACGTTGCAAACTTCCAGATTTTCCAGCAGAGTTTCGGTTAGGACCGACTCGAGTTCCGGCAAGCCATACAGATTGGCCAGGCTGAGCACCTGCAAGATGGCATCCACGTCTAGTGTGGATATGGACATAGTGCCCGAGTATAGATAGCCGAGGATTACCTTGAATGCCTCCAGCGGCACTTCGGGCAGTCGGATTTGTCGTTCCTCCGTAAAACCTCCGAAGAGCATGGCGCGAAAGTATTCACAGCGCGTGGCCAAAATCGCGCAATGCCCCGATATGCGCTGATCCTCCACAAAGAACGACACGTCCGAATAGAGATCGTTCATGCACAGACGGGCAATGTCAGCCAAGACGCCCTCTCCAAATTTGTGCACCCGCTGAGGCTGGGCCATTCGGCGTCTCTTAGCGGCAAGGGAGTGCAACGATTCGTGGCTGTTCATTTTCGCTTCTGAAGTTCTATGTGTGTGGGCGGGTAGGGTGTTTGTTTATATTTGTATTCCGTATAATCTATTAACTTACATTCTCTCGTTTTCTTCAGCAAATTTCTTATTTGTATGCACTGCACACTTGTCACTTGTTAACTGAAGTTGGCTGTGGCTAAAAACTATCGATAGATGGTATCGATACATTGAATATACTACAATATGTGGATACTAAAGTAATTTAATTATTTTAATACCTTACTATTCTGTGCATAAAATCCGTAAGAATTGCAAGAATTTTTACTGCTTTTATGTTACATTACATATGCATACAAGTAGTACCAAGATCGATCAAATATTCTCCATAAAAAATGCCCATCCCTATGGGTTGTAATAGCGCATTTATTTCAAATTAAAACGAGCTGAAACGTTGTGAGCCGCGACAAGGTTCTTCTTCCCTCCGCCAGTGGAAGGAGAGAAATTGGTCGGAAGTTGTTGAAGTTGTAACAGTGTGCTATCCCATCAGTCTGGAAACCAAATTTGGTTGCTCTAGCGCTTATGGACTCTAAGATCTAGGCGCGGACAGACGTAGAGACAGACATGGCCTATGTCGACTCAACCTGCCTGGTTGATAAAGCTTTGCACGAGTGTGTGATTCATACTCTCCAGATTCACAATTCAATTCGATCATATCATTGCTATTTTGGTAGAATAAATAAAGCTCTTTCGAGAACATTTCTCATGCTTGAGTCACGATATACTTTTAAGTTCTTGGTGTGCCATGCCTAATATTTAATGCGCGACTGTCGCCGGGCTCTACTCTGCTTAAAGGTACAGTTTCGCACATCTACGACTGCATTTTCCAGCCATGCTTTTCCTGGAAAATGCTACCCCCAATCCGTACAATAAAAGTTTTCTTGGTGTTTGAATGTTTTTCTTCCATTTATTTTTGAATGTTGTCGAATGTTTTTGTTTGTCTGAGTCTGATGCTGTTCTCAGCCCTATTCTTAACTGATTTGCTTGTGGAAATTGTTTTTCATTTAGCAATTTTACATTTTACTTCATGGTTTTCCTCTTTTCTCACATTTTAATTTACTTTTGATTTCAATTCGTGTTTGCCTCAGTGTTTTTTGTCTATGGTTTGGTCTGGTGGTTCGCTTGAAACCAGCGACAGTTACTCGAAATTGGACAAATTAGTAGGTCTGCTTTAAAGTACACGCCCCAGAAAAAACACATTTTTCTGAGCGCAAATACAAATGAAAAAAAATTAAAGTACCATTAGAAGACTTGGACTGGCCATAGGTCTAGTAATTATGTATAAAAAAGAACTTTATATAGTTACGGCAACATTTCCTTTTTTTTTTCATTCTTATTTTCTTTGTTGGAACATGATTCCCTTCTGTATATAAAATGGGGGTTGTGTTTCAACTGTTTTGATTGCTACTATATAAAAATTTGATTTCTTATCCGGTTTTATTGTTTCTATATGTACGAATTTCATCAAGTTCTTTTTTTTTCTTTTGCCAGCGCGCGGGTTTGTTGTGTGCGGGGGGCGTGGCAGTTTGCTGTTTTCGCAATTATTTTGATCTTGTATATATATATATATAAATATTCATAAACATTATAGGATCGTACAGTAAAATTAGGAAAAGAAAAAAAATTTGCCTTTGCTTTTCGTTTGTCACATGTTCTTATATAATGGGGGGTAGGTATTTTCCTTTGCAAATTGTTTCTTTTGCTTCGTATTTATTACAATTATTAAATGACGCTTTTCGTTTACAACTTTATCTTAAAACATAGAGGGTTTTCCGTCTCGTCGCCATCTTACTTTTGCTTGTTCTTTCCTTCTTAATCGTTTGCTTTATATATATATATACTTTTTCTTTAAAGTTAAGTTAAGTAAGGTTTTTAAATGATAATGGATTTTCTTCTTTTTAATTTTTGTTGGTTGTTTTTGTTGGGTTTGTTTGTTAGTAGAGAGACAGAATCGATTCGCTTTAGGACTACGCTCCCATTGCAGGATTGTTAAAGAGAATTGCGCGCCCAAACCCCCCCGCCCGCACAACCACACTCGAGCACCCATCAAACATGTATCAAACGCAATCAAGCTTGCCGGGTGCCCACAGAGGTGTGCGTGTGGGGAGAGCGGGCGTTCATTTGTGTGTTTTTGCGTGTGAGTTCTTTTGTTTTTAGTGTTAGTAAGTAATTTATATGTACGAGTAATGTGTGTGTACGGCGGCTGCTGCAGACCTAGACGCTGCACCATTTAGGCAGCCACCTCGCTGGCCTCGGCACCGTTTTGAACCTCATCCTTTGTGCTGGCCTCGTCCAGCTTCGCCTTCTTCTCGGGGGTGGCAACGGCCTCATCGGCCTTGGCGGAGGCCTCATCCACCTTCCGCTTCACTGCCTCGACGACGGGCGCGTCTGCAAAGAAAAAGAGAAAACCAAAAGTTAGCATTCGCTAATGAGCTAGAGTTGGCGGGGGGGAGGGATTTACACACCTGTTGAGTCACCGTTGGCTGCCTCCTCGGCTCCGTTCTCAACAGCAGCGGGAGCTGCCTCGCTGCTCTCCTTGGCCTCATCGCCAGCGACTGCCGCCTCCTCGTCCTTCTTCTTCTCCTCAGTAGCTTCGGCGGCAGGAGTCTCGGCGGCCTTCTCCCCATCGACGGCATCGGCGACGACCTTGTCGGCCTTATCGGCAGCGGGGGCAGCAGCTCCATTCTCCTTGGCACTGCCCTCCTCATCGGCGGCACCGTTCTCTGTGGTGGTTGGCTTCTCGACGGCTGCTTCGTCGGCAGCGACGACAGCATCCTTCTTCACGGCATCCACTTCCTCAGCGGGCACCTTCTCGACAACAGGGGTCTCACTGTGGAAAACAAAAAAAGAGCAGAATAATAAATAAGTGATTTTCCCCAAAACATAATTTCCAACATTTCATACAACAACCAAAACCAGAAAATTTTCCATTTCAACAAAAGCGGCCGGCAAACTGTTATTTTTCTCCCTTCTCTTTTTTTTCAAAGCGCTTCCGCGTCTTTCAACCCACCCCAGGACGCGACCGCACACAACACACATCATTGTAACATCTGCCGGCGACGACGCCAGCGCCGACAGCGCTGCCTTAAAATGATAAATGGGAGCAACAACTCGTGCAAACTGCGACGCAAAAAGAAACGAGAAAAAGGTGAGCAGCGTGCTTTTTCATATATAAAACAAATATATATACATACGTACAATATGCATATATATACTCGTATATATTCGGAATTTTTATAAAATCAGGATCATCACGTACACTCGCATGTACATATTATCAAATTTTTCGATCGGGTTGCGAATAGAGCATTCTTTCAGGAAAAACCTACGTTTTGTACCTCTAAATAGATCACCCTGTTACATGCATAGAGTGGGGAAACATAAAAGAGATGCTTGCAAAAAATAAAAAGCGCGACTTGTTTGAAATAAAACGTACGAAAAAAAAACTGGTTTTTATGCGGCGCACAAGCCATACGGCCGTCTCGCTTGCACGCACTTATCAACAGTTCAAATGTGCGCGCGTCACGTAGTTGAAAGAGCGGCAGAAAGGGAAACAAGCAACATAGCAGGAGTGAGAGGGAGGGAAGGGAAGCGCAGCCAACATGAAGAGTGCAAGAACGAGAAAGCATGATGTAAAATGTGCAAGGCAAAGGAAGAGACAAAAATAACGGTCAAAAGCATACACATACCGGCATAAGACACCCACTATGCTTTTGCCTCCCCCCCTTTCACCAACACAACCTAAGACAACAGACAAAAGATATAACGGGGTTTTTCTGCTCTCTTTCTCACCCTCATACACTCTGATGAGACGCAAAAGTTTGAGAAAACGCACAAAGCGGCCGGCGTGCCGTGTGAGATTATTTTAGGCAATGACAAAATACCTGGAAACAACAAAAACTCGAACCGAGCGAACAACAGAGAGCAGCAACAACAAGTTAATACCAAGCTTTGAGCTTTAAACGAACCAAAAATTAATGGACAGGCAAAGGCCGAAGCGAAGAACCAAGAGTCAAAAGCAAACAGACAAGTCAGACAAAAAGACAGACGGACGAAACGGCACGAAAAAAGAGCGGCAACTCGAATACTACACGTACATACATACATCTCTATACATTTTGCGCACTCCGCTTTGAACGAATTCGCTGCCTACACCACCACCACTCACAAAACAGAGAGCAAGCAAAGTCTCGTTGTCGTTGGTTTGCCGGCCGGGCCGGAGAGTGAGCGAGAAGGCACTATGACGCCGCGCCAAATTCAACGGCGTCGTTTTTTGCGCGCACATTTAGTCGGCATTGGCGAAAGCGAGACAACTGTATTGGTGCGGCAAAGCGTATATAGACACAGAAATTCAAAAGAAAATTTTTCCAAACCGTTGCGAGAGAACATGGAAAAAGATGTACACCACTGGCGAAATTCGAACAGATCCAGGCAATTGTTTAAACAAAATGCACAGATGTACAGGCCACAGCACAAACAACGAGATAAAACACACACAGAACCCTCTAATCAAATATTACTCACTTTTTTTGCTCAGCCACATCAGCCATTTTGATTTACTGTTGGTTTATGTTTCGAAAGCGAAGCGCGAAAAACACGTTTAAATTATTGGGTTTCGGAATACGCAAAAACACGACTCGCCGAAATGCAAAAACAACACTTGGTCTCAAACAAAATCAGCAAATTTTATAAATTTGTTGCAATTGCTTTTCTCTGGTAGCTTGGCTAGTTGACTGCTGGAGATTTTTGCCGCACACAGTTAGAACGTCCACAGAAAAAACGCCGAATGAGAGAGCGGTGAGCGTCGCCGGGACTTATATAGGGATGTAGATGTGTATCGATAAGTCGATATGTGTATTTTTGTAGGATATATTTGTAGTTGAGTCGATAGTTTCTTGGACTGGCGACATATTCATCTAAAATGGATATTTTTGTTGGATATATCAGTATATATGTATAGTTTTGTGAATTCTGAGCCAATCTACACTATATTTTTGCTGTTTCACGTCGTTAAATCAGATATTGCGACATTTGATTGTGCAACGTTCATGCTTATCGATATATCGATACATGGGTTATTTAAATATCATAATTTTATTTTGGGGAATATTACAATTGATGTATATTTGGTTCTC